CCGGTGTCCGCGCCAATGATCCCTCCATGTAAGGAGGACACAGGACTGCAGGACCCCGCCAGGAGGACAGGTCGCGCGGGAATCCCAAACGCGGACAAGACATGGGAGTTGCGCAGGACCCCCCAGCGGAAGAGTAGTCTTTGTTGTCGGCGACCTCCAACGGTGGCCATGTCATGGGTTGTCGTTACCCCCGGTCTGGTAAATGGCAAGGTTTTCTTTGGCGGCACCTTTCCAACCGGCTCGAGGCGACATGGGGCTTGGCAGGACCCCCGGCAGAAGAGGTAGTCTGGCGGCGACCTCCAAACGGGACACGACATGAGTTGGCAGCGACCCGCATGGAGGTAGCTAGTCTGCCGGGGACCCTCCAGACGGCCTCAGCCGACATTGGGTTGGCAGGACCCCCGGCAGAAGAGTTAGTCTGCGGGACCTCCAACGGGGACAGACATGCGGAGTTTGGCAGGACCCCCGGGGCAGGAAGGATATCTGCGGGACCTCCAACGCTGGACAAGACATTGGAGTTGGCAGGGCCCCCGGCAGAAGAGTAGTCTGCGGGACCTTCAACGGCACAGGACATTGGGTTTGGGCAGGACCCCCGGCCAGAAGAGAGGTCTGCGGGACCTCCACGGGACCAGACATGGTGGTTGCAGGGACCTTCGGCAGGAGGCGCAGTCTGCGGGACTCCACGACACTTGGAGTGGGTTGGGGGTTCAGCCAACGAACCCGGAGGAGCTGGCGTCGGACCGGACAGCCACAGGACAACGAGGTGCTGGAGTCGGCCGTATGACGCGACAAGACACAGGGAGCTGGCGTCGGACGGACAGCACATCAGGACACGGGGGAGGCTGGCGTCCGGACGGGACAGCCAACGGAGACCGAGGTGCTGGAGTCCGGACCGATATGCCACGGACAAGACATTGGGGAGCTGGCGCTCGGTACGCCGACAGCATCAGGACACGGGACTGCTGGCGTCCGGACGGACAGCCAACCGGAGACGAGGTGCTGGAGTCGGCCGGCTATGCTGACAGGACATGGCTGGAGCTGGCGTCGGGACGGACTGAGCCGACAGGAACGAGGTGCTGGATCGGAGACCAATGGTACTGAAGCCGCACTTAACCGGTGAACATGGCTTGTAAGGTACGGTTCTGGACGCCGAAACCATGGCTGTAAGGTTCGGGTTCTGGAGCCGGAAACATGGCTGTAAGGTTCCGGTTTCTGGAAGCCGGAAACATGGCTGTGTGGTCCGGCGTTCTGGACCCGGAAAAACATGGCTGTTAAGGTCCGGTTCTGGAGCCGGCAACATGGCTGTAAGGTCCGTTTCTGGAGACCGGAAACATGGCTGTAAGGTCCGGGTTCTGGACCCGGAAACATGGCTGTAGGTCCGGTTCTGGAAGCGTGGAACATGGCTGTAAGGTCCAGTTCTGGAGTCGGAAAACATGCTGTAAGGTCCGGTTCTGCGCGGACATTGGCTGTAAAGGTCCGGTGCTGGAGGCCTGAAACATGGCTGTAAAGGTCGCCGGTTCTGGAGCGGAAATCATGGCTCTTTGGGGCTTGAGCTGCTAGCCTTGCCTTGCGGACTCCTCCTCTTAGCAGCCGCCTGAATACTCCGTGGACCTCCATAAGCCAGACGAGTTCCAGAATATGACTCCTGGACAGGAGCAGGAACTGGGGCAGAAGCATGGGTTGACTGCAGACGGAACCCACCGAGGCGTATGGTGCCAGGTTGGGAATTGGGAGGCCGGGAGCTAGCAAGCCTGGGGCTAGCAGGCCGGGAATCACACACAGGGAAGATCTTTGAAATCCAGCCAGGTAAGAACTTCACCATACCTGGTTTCTCTCTAGCCATCTGGCGCGCCTCCGACAACACAGCCTCCCGCTGCTGAACTCCGGGTGCTCTCTTCCATCTATCCGAGCAGTTAGCCAAAAAAAAGGAAAAATGTAATAATTCCGACTCTAACGGATCTGCTGGGCCCATTTCTTGGTCGGTTCGTACTGTCACGGTTTGTGAAACAAGCAGGACCCAAATGCAGATATAAACTGAAACTTCCTTTATTTCAAGGCTATGATATATATAGACAATGACAAAACAGAACACTCACCGCAGAATTAGTCAGGGAACAAGACGAACCGACCAAGACAGACAGACAACCCAGAACTTAAATACACACAAGACTCAATCACACAACAAGACACAGGTGAGGAGGGAGGAGAAAACACAAGGGCCCAGGTGAACATAATCAGACAATTATACACACCAGGGAAACTAATGACAAGAGGAAAACACAGGGAAAAGGACCAGACAATAACCCAAAGGAAAACATGACATGGAAAACAGCAAAAATACCCAAACCTACAAAACTATAAACGTGACCTAACATGAGAATCGTGACAACCTGTTCCATTAATTCATTGCTTTAAAATACATTTTGTAGTTTCCTTTCATTTAAAATTATTGAAGTAAGCTTGGAGGACTCAAAGGGCACCCGATTGTTTGTCTGAACACCTTGTTTCTCTTGTGCATTAAGAACACTTGTGTTAGGGCATGAATTAACAATAAATAGGTTGTATACAGTATAAAATACCACGTACTGTCTGCCCGCCCATGCCACCCTGGCATGACCTCTTGCCCCCCCTTTCCAACCCCACATAAAATGTTCTAGAACCGCCACTGGTTTCACCACCAGATTACATTTCCCCTCGGCCTCCTGCTGGCTCTCAACATCTTCCCAATCCGTCTGGTTGACATAAAAAATGATCCTCCTGATATGGCGGTTGGTCCACATCAAAGTTTGATTGATAGTTTTAACCGCAAACTTTAAGAGTTTTGAAAACACCCCTAGGCACCAAAAATGATGTTATTTAAATTGTAATAATTTGCCTCATTATAGCTTAAGAAGTCATTCACATAAACAGCAACCTTTCTTTGACTTAAACAATTATAAAAAGTGATTCTGAGGTACTGCATAGATGACTTTCCACAGACAAATGTAAAAGAGATTCATCCAAACTCCTAATTATTTGTCTGTCCTTTTGTTTTCAGGCGCCTGGAGTGGATCAGGAGGTGGGAGGATAAAATACACCGTCAAAGGGATCCTGCTTGAAATGGGGCAATGTGGATTGCGGTGTTCCCGTTCCTTGTGAACCGCGGAAAAAGAGCAACCACGAGGACACAGGAACCATTAGTAGAAGGAGGAGGCCGTGTGGGAGCGGCAGCTTTGGTGTGTGTAGAAAAGCTGGTATGGGTGGAGGGGCAATCGCGATGGCGAATGGGAACGAGAGCAGTGAAGGGCCTGCTGGGCCAATAGCAGTGGTGGCTACCGCAGGAGGCTTGGTAGCAGATAGCCCCTCCTCGGCTGTATCTACCTATATTAAACTGGTGCTCCTCGGGCTGATCATCTGCATCAGCCTGTTGGGCAACCTGGTGGTGTCTCTGCTCGTCCTGCGGGACCGGGCCCTGCACAAAGCACCTTACTACTTCCTGCTGGACCTGTGCCTGGCAGACACCATTCGCTCTGCCATCTGCTTCCCCTTTGTGCTGGTGTCTATAAAGAACGGCTCGGCCTGGACCTACAGCGTGCTGAGCTGCAAGGTGGTGGCCTTCATGGCGGTGCTCTTCTGCTTCCATGCCGCATTCATGCTGTTCTGCATCAGTGTAACACGCTACATGGCCATTGCACACCACCGCTTTTACTCGAAACGCATGACATTCTGGACTTGTGTGGCAGTGGTGTGCATGGTGTGGACACTGTCCGTGGCAATGGCGTTCCCACCAGTTTTTGATGTGGGCACATACAAATTTATTCGCGAGGAGGACCAGTGCATCTTTGAGCATCGCTACTTTAAGGCTAACGATACACTAGGTTTCATGCTAATGCTGGCTGTGCTCATTCTAGCCACACATGTTGTCTACATGAAGTTGCTCCTCTTTGAATATAAGCACCGCAAGATGAAGCCGGTCCAGATGGTGCCGGCCATCAGTCAGAACTGGACCTTCCATGGGCCGGGGGCTACTGGCCAAGCCGCAGCCAACTGGATTGCAGGCTTTGGGAGGGGGCCGATGCCGCCGACCCTGCTGGGTATCCGACAGAACTTGCACAACCAGAACCGGCGCCTGCTGGGCATGGATGAATTCAAAGTGGAGAAGCAACTTGGCAGGATGTTCTATGTGATCACCCTGCTGTTCCTGGTGCTCTGGTCTCCATACATAGTAGCTTGCTATTGGCGGGTGTTTGTGAAGGCCTGTACAATACCACACCGGTACCTCTCCACCACAGTGTGGATGAGTTTCGCCCAAGCCGGGGTCAACCCTATTGTCTGTTTCTTCCTCAACAAAGACTTGAAGAAAGGGCTCCTTTCCCACCTACCAGCCTGCTGCAGGACTAAACCTCATTTGCCACGAGAGCCTTATTGTGTCATGTGATCAGAGAGGATGATCTAAACAGAGAGGAAACACAGGGAAGCCAACAGTGTTTAGTGTTTGCTTGAACTGTTTCTGCATTTCAATACAATAGAAGCTATTTTTAAGCAGTGGTTGCAAACTAGTAAGTGTGATGATAACACTGGAATGGTTAGCATGTATTTCATTCGTCCAACCCTTTTTTTCTCTCAAAACCACCTCATAAATGGAGTCAGACTTTGACTTTTGATAATAAGAAACACAGTACTTTAATAATAAAACATGCAAGTGATAATGCAGTCATTATGGAAACCAAGTCAGACAAACACCCAACAAATTACACAAGCTGCTTCAAAAAGAATAGCAAATTAGAAACATCTAGGGTTGATTCAAAGGATAGGAAGATTCCTACAGGGGACAAAGATAATAAAGAATAAATGTTTGTACCTCAATTGAAATGTCACTTACGTGCTTGATTAGTAAGCAAATCCTTTTGTATAGTGACAGTGAAGAGGAACAGTTCATATCAGCAACATTATGTCACATTCTGGCCAGAAAATAGAAAAATAAAATAATTTAAAAGTAGGGGGATCACTGCATTCCTGCAGTCCGCAGAGGCAGCCTCACGGAGTCAGAGGGCGGAGAGATGGGTTGAACTGATCTCACGATTGTAATTAATTATTAATACTTCCATGAAAGCTCTTTACTGAACAGGAAACTGAGGCAAACACATGAGTGACAGGAACACCAGCTCTAAGGCCAGGATGATGTGTTTACTTCCTTACTGATTAAGACAGAAGTTATCCATGCTATGACTTATCAAGGTGTCACTAATTGAATTAACAAACACAAACTAAGGTGACTGACAAATCTTCCTTCTGATACACATTATTATTATTTAGATCTGTGCATGGCTATGAGTCAAGAGAGAGGTAGTGATCATCTGCAAAAATTAACAGCAGCTTGTTAAAGTGTTAGCACCGCGCCCAGCTGCATAAAAGGCTTCTCTTAGCCCAGAGCAGATTTTTGTTATAAACAACACAGTACCTTTGGTGTCCGGTAGACAGGGCCATGCTGAGAGTGCTGGTGTCCAGCAGCAGTCCCTCGGCTTTGGTGTCTTAATACGCCTAGTTTATCAGAACAGCTTGTTTCTGAAGCATGGGATTCACCTGTGAATGTATGTAAATGTCTGTATTGTGGACCATTGAATTGAAATTCATTTTTAATTCATAATATTTCATAATAACTTTGTGTTCATGTACATGGCAAAGCTTTTTTTCTTGTTTGTCTCTGTCACTTCTCTGAAGGAGTGCTTAAGCAGTTATTCGCCACTCAGTACTAATATCAGAAGAGTGCGGCCATGTCTTCATTACCATGCTGGCCCTGCAACATGAAAACATTTGTATTTACGTATGTTGATAGACTGTGTGTAGACCGTTTTCTAAGCCCATCAAATTAACATGTGAAGTTCCAAAACACTGAACGAAATGCAAAAGATTCAGGAACAATTATTATTGTTATTATTATCAGCCAGAGAAAAAGGAGCTGCACTGGGAGGAGGAGAGATGACAGACAGCAGGAATACACTGACAGGTGAGCCTGATTTCTTTATGATACCCCTTGAGGACACATCCTTTACACCTGTCACACCTGAGAACAGCTCAATGAAGTCCTGAGCTGTAGCTATGCTCTGGTCCCTGCATAGCTCTCATCATGTTCTGTTTAAAATACAGTCGATATCAGAGACAGGAGCTCTAGGCAACTGCAAGAAAGGGGTGGGGGTCCTAAACACTATATGGACTCTCCCTGTTCACATATAGTCTAGCCAATATTAATCTTTTGTCATTACAGCAGGCTCTATCACACATTGGTTTTGCTGCTTCACCCATTCAGAGCAGCCAACAATGGGTGCTGCACATTCAGCTAGGACTGATTATGGGAAGGCACTCAATCCAAATTCTGAATCCTATAAATGTCATATACTTACCTTTTAGAATCAACATTATGAAATTAAGTCTGAATTTATAGTTACTTTATACAAATTAAGTAAAACTCCAAACAATAGAAACTTTGATTCCACACGTGAGGACAGAGATCCACGGACCTGAGGTAAAAAACCACTAGAAAGAACGCAGGTCATGAACCAAAATCTGGTACTTTGGTAACACTAAAAACCACACCGCTCACAGCCAACATACAGCACAACATGTTTTATTAGCTCATAAGACTACAAGATGCATCTGAATCAACATCCGCCTGGTTTTGTTTGATGGCACAGTGGGGCCAAAGTCTCATTAAGCATACATCTTCATCACTTCACACAGGACTGAAGTTAGAGGGTGCAGTAGAAGAGACATCTGCTTTATTTGAGTACAAATCTAAAAATGGATAAATGTGCTTTTTTCCTGTTTCTTTCTGAAATGAACTGTAAGATGGGTAGAAATGGAAGGGGAGGACAGGGCACATAGAATGACCTTTTTTAGTGAATGTCTGAAAGCATGACATTGTCCTTAAGATTGAGGGAATATTGTATTAGGGGTTTGTGGTGCCCCTTGTTCTCTGCCGTGGCATATCTTACAGCCCCAACAACAGCATGCTGCAGAGAAACGCTTATCTTCCTTTTATCTTTTCTGAATGATGGCCTTACTCCGTTAAAAAAATGTCACACCAATGGAACAAAGAGTAGACAAACGTGTCTCCTCTGTCTGCACTACAATCAGGAGGGGGCAGAACACTGTGTACACCGGAGACATCAGGAGACTTGTTGCTCTCCCCATCAGACCTGGCCCGTCAGGGACCAGGACCATGACGGCGCGGGGGGGGAGAATGATGATCTGAGTGACCCCTACTCCGGAATTCTGTGGGATTTTGTTGAATGAAGTAAAAACATTGAGTCTGTCTATTTTCCTTTCTGAGACTAAGCTTTTTGAGTTGCGTCAGGCAGATTCTCTTTGGTAAATGTACAGTGACCTCTGTATTGTTAGTGTGTATTATAATGACAGCTAATCAACTCTGAAATGCAACAGAACAGTTCCTGATCACCAGATGTGTACTGTGTGTGTGTTTGTGTGTTTCTATTGGCAGGACTGATTGTGTGTGTAAGATGATGGTTACATGAATGGAAGAAGAACTAAGAGGGAACACTGACCAGATACATTTTGCATTTCAATGACATAATTCCTGCTAAAGCTTCTTTAGTATTCTTCATGTGGGCCTTCTCCAAGGGATAGGCTTTTGTTTTAAAAGCAATGAAGTTGACTTTAAGTCCCTTATGTCATAAATCAATTATTAACTTAATATCATTTTTTATATATATTTAGAGATAATGAAGAAAAAAAAGCTTGACATAAATCACATAAATGTGATTGCATACACTGGTCTATTTATGAATGTTTAATTGAAGAGTGAATTAAAAGAAAGCGTCTTAAACCACCAATAATATTGATCAACCAAGAATTGTACAAACCCCTGGCAGTTTGTCTATGACATCAAATCAGCACTAACAAAGTGTTCTTGAACCTTCAGAAGGTTCTGCTTGGTCACCTCCATCAGTACTGCTAATGGTGAGATGTGCTAACACAGTGACCTCCAGAGGTGGGAGAAGTACTCAGATCTTGTACCTGAGTAAAAGTAGATGTACCAGAGTGTAGGAATACTCTGTTACAAGGAAAAGTCCTGCATTCAAAATCTTACTCAAGTAAAAGCACAAAGGTATTAGCATCAAAAGTACTTATTCTGCAGATTGGTCCATTTCAGAATAATAGATATGATATGTTTTATAATGATTGATCATGAAAGTGTTCTCAAAGCTGGTAAAGGTGCAGCTAGTTTGAATGACTTTGTATACTGCAGGGTAGCTTGTGAATTTACTCCAGGTGGAACTACAGTCTGATTTAACACTTGATTATATTNACCACATGGAACCTGCAGAGTGAGCTGACCCGCTAGAACCACATGGAACCTGCAGAGTGAGCTGACCTGCTAGAACCACATGGAACCTGCAGAGTGAGCTGACCTGCTAGAACCACATGGAACCTGCAGAGTGAGCTGACCAGCTAGAACCACATGGAACCTGCAGAGTGAGCTGACCTGCTAGAACCACATGGAACCTGCAGAGTGAGCTGACCTGCTAGAACCACATGGAACCTGGCAGAGTGACTTGACCTGTGCGTCGAACGGGATCTTCTGTTTAGAGTCCACCACGGCCTGCCATGTCTGAGTGATGCCTTCCTTCAGCTCCGTCTTCCACCGACATCAGCCTGCCATACAGGGACACCACACACACACACACACACACAACACACACACACACACCACACACCACCACACACACACACACACACACACACACACACACACACACACACACACACACACACACACACACACACACACACACACACACACACACACACACACATATATATATATAAAGAGGAACAGAAAGCTGCCTTTTGGCACCGGCTGCACAATTCACTTTTTCTTTAATTGAATGTAGTGAATATCCAATATTTGGCAAAATATGTAGAAATATCTGCATAAATAACTGGTTCCCAGGGAAGCCGTTATTTAACAATATTCTACAGACTAAATATACAACTACAAATATTTGATTGTTAAAAAACCTCAAACTAAAGAATCAGACTTTTATCGTTTCAAAAAATGTGTCAATGGTGTTGTGAATATTGTTGACCAGTTTCCTCTGAATCAAAGTCAAGTACAAATAATTGTTAAAATATTTCAAATACATTTCCCTTTTGATTTGTGGCATTTTGCACAGACCGAGCGTGGTGACACAGCTGCTGCTTGTTCAAACATTCCCTAAAGCCACACTAAATATGACATTTATAAAGCTTTACGAGGCAGTCTCTTAAAAACGTTGGCTCTCTTGACGGAGAATAAGAAATACACATGACCCCTGCCATTAAATGCTTTTTTCAAGCAGCCCTGACTCCCACCCAGCATCTTCCTCCTCCTCCCTCCCTACCTGCTGATGATGCCCTTCATCTGCAGGTCCTTGTCGTCCTGCTGTCTGCGCAGGCGCTCCTCGGACTCCTCCAGTCGGGCCTGGTACTCCATCAGGACCTTCTGGGCCTGCTCGTCCTGGCCCTTCAGACGGGCCTCGTACTCCTCCAGCTTCTGCACCGAGGCCCGCAGCTTCTCCTGCAGCACCAGGATCTCCTGCTGGTACTGAACAGAGAGAGGACCATCATCATGTTCTGCTTGTCACCACCACCATCATCCTCATCCTCATCCTCATCATCCCTATCAGCTGGGACGCCTTCATTAACATAGCTAACAAGAAGCATCTCTCAATGGGGCCTGAGATGATATCCTGTTGTCCCTGAGAGAGTGTCATTTAGACAGAGAAGGGAACCACACGGTTCATTTACAAGCCATTTTCATTATTGCACTCTTACACTTTGCCTGGATAGCTGCCCTAAAAAACGTGTTGGGAAATCAATTATCCTTTTTTTCTTTCCAATCATTCACTTTCATCCATATTAGCAATGCTTTTATGGCAGAAAGTACATCAGTGAGACCTCTGAAATAACCCTTATTGAGAGGTCAAACTGGCATTCCAATAGAGTGAAAGAAAAGAGAGGAAGTTTAGGATGAAACGAGAACAAGGAGGAGGAAGGGAGAAGGGAGGCATGGAAGTAGTGAAGTAGGAGTCTAGTCTGTGAAATAAGCTCTGACAATCTCTCTCTGACCTCTCGCTGGACCTCAGAGGCTTTTGAAGCAGCTTTCTTCAGGTGGCGGGGGGGCGGCGGACTAATGGAGAATCCAATCTCCTTCAGGATAGAGAAACATTTCTTACAGCAGTGACGGCACTGTGATCTAGTCGGGCGTTGACACCTGAGACCAGGGGAGACCGTGAAGGGCCAGACCAAAAGGGCCGCATAGCAGGCGAACTGCTAGCTACAGAGCTAAAGGCACTAACAACAACTTGGGCTCACAATGAGCACTTTACAAATGTTAATGTTTAACAGGTTAATATATAAATGATTCAATCAAGCAAATTTGCAACTGAGGCAGAGGAAACTTGGTCAGTAAACACCCAAGTAATTAAGGCATGATGAAAATTCTTGACGCTATGAATAATTGAAGGGCTTTAGCCGCAAATTCATTTCAATTGCTTCGCTCAAAGGGAACATGGAACAACACTTTCTTTTTCATGGCCTTTCCTCGCAGGCAGTTAAAACATCTTATAATGACTACTTGACAATAGAGGGTTGTCATTAGGACTAAACCTCCATGAATAAATTGATGTTCATGGCAATCCCAGGTCAGGCTGACTTGCTAATCACATGCTTGAAGTCACGGCTGCTTAGCATCGACTACAAGAAGCGGGTGAGCAGATTGTTCCTTTGTATACTGTGCATAGTATACTGTAGCACTGTTTGTTCTACTTAATTAAATCAATTATCTTGTCAAGTTGTTTTAAAGAAAATAATTGACGCCTATACTCCTGCTAACATTATCTCCTGTCTCCTCTCCATCAAGCATCAACTAGCAACATTCTGGTCCTCCCACCGTAGCCAAAAGCGCACTCCACCATCTGCCCCCCCCCTATATCTCACAGCCACCGCTTTCTCACCCCCTATCAACCCCCACCGGTCTCAGATACAGCCGGACTGGCTATCCNATTCACAAGCTACCCTGCAGTATACAAAGTCATTCAAACTAGCTGCACCTTTACCAGCTTTGAGAACACTTTCATGATCAATCATTATAAAACATATCATATCTATTATTCTGAAATATGATATGTTTTATAATGATTGATCATGAAAGTGTTCTCAAAGCTGGTAAAGGTGCAGCTAGTTTGAATGACTTTGTATACTGCAGGGTAGCTTGTGAATTTACTCCAGGTGGAACTACAGTCTGATTTAACACTTGATTATATTTCACATCATTCATCCACATCTGTGAAGTAACTAAAGGTATTAAATACATGTAGTGGAGTAGAAGTACACCATGTACCTCTGAACTGTAGTGGAGCAGAAGTACACAGTAGCATAACATGAAAATAGTAAAGTACAAAATTGTACTTAAGAACAGTACTTGACTAAATGTACTTAGTTACATCCCACCTCTGGTGACCTCACAGTCCCATGATTGGCAGCTTGGAAACTGACAGTTTTTTGGCAGGCGGACATAAGACTGACAGGTCTGAACACAGCCTGGCTGTTTCCTCCATCATGACTGGGAACACCTGCATCAGTCTGACCTCCAGATAAAGTAGTTTGGATAAACTGTTGGATCGTTCCCAACCTGTGTGATCATCTGACAGCCTTTGTGTTATTGTCACACTTTGGTCTGTTGTTCCATTTAAAACAGAATTTCGTGTGAATGCTGTCATGAATGTGAATGTGGATGTGCCTGGGCCACAGCAGTCAGTGAGTCAGATTCACATTGGAAGTCAGTGTTTGGTTGTTCTGCTGTGTAACTGTTTGAACCCGTACAGCAACAGAAACACACCAACAGGAATCACAGCTGCTTTATACAGTGTTTCTGTGGGGAAAACTCCAAATGTTGCCCTGTCTTAGAAAGGGTGCCAATTCATGAATTATTTGGAAAAAGTTTAATTTAAACCTTAGGGTATACCATTAAATGTCAAAGGTTAAAAGAAAAATGTTATCTCAGTGAAACCGGAAGGCAAACACCTGACATAAAGCAAAAGGTTTGAAGGATGTACGAGGGGTTTCCTTTTTATTTATTTTTTTTATATATAAATGGTTGAGCTATAACGCATGTCTCTGGATATTGATGACTTTGTAAAAATAATAAATTTCCTTTGAAATGATCATGTCAGTGCTTCCAATAATTCCTGGTTGTGATGATATATTGCTTTTAAAGATGCATTTTGCATACCAAGCATACATGTATTGTTCCACTCTGCTGTTCATTATTGGTCCAGGGTTTCTGTCTCTGAGATTTTTCTCTCAACACTAATTTAATAGCAACGGACACTTGATGCTTGCTCCACAAATGACATCTTGCTTTCAATGGCAATCGTGCTTTAAAACTCACCTATTATGCTATATTTCAACAATATATTATAGGCAGGGGTGCACATAACCTTTTTAGTGAGTTACTCAGATGAGTACCAGGAGACAGAGTTTGGTACTCACCCCACACGAAGCGTGGTGTTAATAAGTGCAGTCCCCCTCACTGTCCTCCTCAGTGTCTCCTTCACTGTCCTCTAGTTCCTCTTCTTGCATGCTAGATGATGAAGATGCTGCAGATGCACCCTGTTTAAGCCTCCCATTTGCTTTCTCCAAAACGTGTTGCCAAAACTGTGCATTTCCTGCGGCCAGGTTGGAGGATCAAATACTAAGAAATGATCACATGACTTGAAGTTATATCTGATGTGGGAAGTAACTAAGTACACTTCTTCAAGTACTGTACTAAAGTACAATGTTGAGAAACTTGTACTTTACTTGAGTATTTCTATGTTATGCTACTGTGTAATTCTACGCCATTACAGTTCAGAGGTAAATTGTGTACTTTTACTCCAGCACATGTATTTAATACCTTTAGTTACTTTGCAGATGTGGATGAATGATGTGAAATATAATCAAGGGTTAAATCAGACTTTAGTTCCACCTGGAGTAAATTCACAAGCTGCACTGCAGTATACAAAGTCA